TTTTTTTTGACAGGAGTATCTTACCAAATTAGGCAATACAGAATGTCATCCGAATCAGTTTTTGGAGAGAAGATCAAACTTGGATAAACTATTGATTATTATTCAAAATGAAGACATTGCAGGTTTCATTCACAAGGTAGACAAAGTCCTGTTTACTATTTTGTTCTCTAAAACTATCTCATTGCTAAGTCGTATTCTGAGAACAAAGATTTTGTTTTTAAGATAAAGATAAATTCCTAAGTACCTGTACAGGAACCAGTTTGTGAGAATTGCATATTTGCAAAACATTTAAGTTATTACTAAATGTTAAGAATCTTCCCTGTCATTCAAATTAGTTAAGATGTGCTGGATCCTTTTTTTTTTTTTTTGTGGTTTTTTTAAGACAGGGTTTCTCTGTGCAGCCCTGGCTGTCCTGGAACTTACTCTGTAGACCAGGCTGGCCTCGAAATCAGAAATCCGCCTGTCTCTGCCTCCCGAGTGCTGGGATTAAAGGCGTGCGCCACCACCGCCCGGCTGATGTGCTGGATTCTTAAATGTAGAGGTAAGGAGTGTTCTGCTAACCCTTTGTACTGTTATCTATATTTGACTATGCAGACAAACCTTTTGGACTTGAGGTATGCTATCTTGATCTTCGGAGCTTGCCTCAGACCAGCCTCTTCACTACTATTCTTGCACTTTATGCTTTCTTCCCACCCTATCTTTTTGAGACAGTATCCTGTGTAGCCTAGAAAGACTCCCAACTATGTAGCCTAGGCTGACCTCCTAATCCTCCTTCCTCTGTATCTCAAGTGGTATGATACAGATATGTGCCACCACACCCGCTTCCTAGGTTTGAATTCTGGCTGTTTATGGGTTAGAGATATATTAGCATTTTATCCATTTTGTGTTTTCAGCCTAATGTAAACTCCTTAGTATTCTGTTCATAAATGTTAGTTTATACTACTACGAAGTAATACTTAAAATATTGTGTGACTTTCCAATACTGAGTAATAGTATTTTTTGTTTTAGACTTCTTAGGTAAATCTATATTTAGATACATTTATCCATCTTTTTTATGGTTTTCTTTGGTATTTAACAGGTACCTGGCTTGGTGACTTTAAAGAAGCTCCCATGTGTTAGTTTTGCTGGTGTTGATAGTCTGGATGATGTTAAAAATCATACATACAATGAGTTATTTGTATCTGGTGGCTTTATTGTATCGGATGAATCAATTCTAAATCCAGAGGTTGTCACAATTGGTAAGGATGAGTATATTATTTTCAGCATGTGATTTCTGGGGTGTGGTTGCCCTAGGTTTTCATGGAAAATTATGAAATTAAAAAATTACTTATTGTGCCATTCATGGTTTACTGGCTTATTTCTGTATTTTCCTGAGCCTCTGCTACCTTACATACAATTCTTCTCTATCTTATATATAAATGCTTTCATGTACATCTGGTCTGTATTACCTGCTGTGGCACTTGGATTCCTCTGGTAGTGGTATTGATATTGGGTTGTTTGTAGCTGTTACAGTTTTAAGTTTCCCCTCAGAGCAAGATAAGTCATAGTAAATAGGAAAATAGATAAGTCTATATAAATACAAACAAGCACTTCTTCCAAAAATATTTAATACTAACTTTAAAAACTGAATTTCATTGCCTCTAACAGAGAGCCTTAAAATTTTTTTGACATTCCTTGAAGAACTTAGTACTCCAGAGGGGAAATGGCAATGGAAAATCCACTGTAAATTCCAGAAGAAACTAAAGGAACTGGGCAGGTAAGAAAGTATTGAATAATTATTGATTTTTAACATTGTGCTCACACAACTTTTTTTCCTTTTCCTAAATTTGTGGATTATGAAGTTTTCACATATGTCAACAGATAATAAATGGATGTAATACTGAATTATTCCATTCTCTTTAAGGAAGAAGTGGTATTCTTATTGACATAGACAATTTTGTGAAGTTTTCAAATAGTTAGAATTGCTTATAATCTGCATAATCACAAGGATTAGAAATATTTCTGCCTTTTTTTTTTTAAATGGTGCTAGATTGGAAACACATTATGTGCTACAATTTCAAGCCTTTTAAAAATATATCAATTGACTCTGTTAATATATACATACACAATGCATTATAGTCATATCCACACCTCAGCCAACTCTTCCCAGGGCCTTCCCCCTTACCATATCCAAGTTCGTGTCCTCTTTTTTCCCCACTGGAACATAGGCATCCTACCAGGGCTGACATTCAACTGAAGAAAATTGACACTTCCTACCAGACCCTCTCACCTGTCAGTTGTTCCTTACCGAGGGATGGAGCCTCCTAAATATCTTTCTCATCTAGGCTGTAATTTTGACTGGCTTGATTTTGTGCAAGTTTTGGGTAAACAACTCTTAACTGTTGTACATTCTTGAGTGCAGTAGATCTGTTAAAAGTCTAAAATAGTTTTCTCACAGCATTACACAACATCTGGCTCTTAGGATATTTCTGCTCCTTGTTTTACATAGTTCTCTGAGTCTTGGGGAGAAAGATTGTGCTATAGATGACATATTTAAAGCATTCGTTTAAAAACTAATCTGTATCTGTCTGTCAACCAAATTAGACCCTATTGCAATTCAGTACTTTAGATAACTTAAAGTCAAGGATTGATCTCAACCAGATGAGATTTAATTAGAACACTGATTATATGTATGTATGTTTGAGTGATTTCTAATATGTCTGGAAATTACCTCCTTGGAGTACTAGTTACAAAGATCTGCAAACAGTATAGGAAGTTTGATATACTGTATCTGGTTAGCAGGGCTGTCTTTATAATATAATTAACTATATTAGTTTTATTTTGTTTTTCAAGACAGGGTTTCTCTGTGTAGCCCTGGCTGTCCTGGAACTCACTCTGTAGACCAGTGAACTCAGAAATCTGCCTGCCTCTGCCTCCCAAGTGCTGGGATTAAAGGCGTGTGCCACCACTGCCCAGCCTTTTTTTTTTTTTTTTTTTAAGATTTATTTATAGCCAGGCAGTGGTGGGGCACACCTTTAGTCCCAGCACTTGGGAGGCAGTGGCAGGTGGATTTCTGAGTTTGAGGCCAGCCTGGTCTACAGAGTGAGTTCCAGGACAGCCAGGGCTACACAGAGAAACCCTGTCTTGAAAAACCAAAAAAAAAAAAAAAAAAAAAAGATTTATTTATAAGCACACTATTGCTGTCTTCAGACACACACCAGAAGAGGGCATCAGATTCCAATACAGATGGTTGTGAGCCACCATGTGGTTGCTGGGGATTGAACTCAGGACCTCTAGAAGAGCAGCCAGTGCTCTTAACCACTGAGCCATCTCTCCAGCCTTAGATTTTTATTAGCTAGAATTTCCTAAGTCATAGAATTTTCTTTTTGTGTGTGGAGCACGTATATGTGGGATATACTCAGCCTGTGCATGCAGAGCCCAGAGCAGGATGTCATTCTCTTCTCTTTCTTGCCACAGTAACTGACTTAAGACAGGGCCTGTCCCTGGAACAAAAGCTACACTGGCAAGCTGGCCAGGGAGTTCTTATGAATTGCCTATCTTCCCCCTTACTGGGATCGTAGACACATCCAGCTGTGTGGGTGCTGGGGATATGAATCAGGTCTTCAGGTTTGAAAAGCAAGTGTTCTTACTGACTGAGCCATTTTTTAGTCCCAAATTTCTTTTTGTAAGTTAATTTTTTTCCTGTTAGGTAGACCTCTTGCTGTATAATTCCAGCCAGCTGCTATCCACTTTGTAGACCAAGCTAGCCTCAGAGTCATGGGCATCCTTCTGCCCCTGCTTCCAAAGTGCTGTATAGGCATATACCACCAGAACTGGTTCTAGGTCACAGGTTTTTCATTGCCATTAACTCCTATTGACATTCTGTGACAGTCTTCAGGAAATTCAGGGTTAAATAATTCCAGTGTTCAGTTATGTACACTTCCTTTGCATTCCTATGAAATTCCTATTCCTTTTGAATGCTGGAATTAAAAAGGTATAACACTGCCAGGCAGTGGTGGCACACGCCTTTAATCCCAGCACTTGGGAGGCAGAGGCAGGCGGATTTCTGAGGCCGGCCTGGTCTACAGATTGAGTTCCAAGACAGCCAGGGCTATACAGAGAAACCCTGTCTCGAAAAACAACAACAAAAAAGTACACCACCACACCTACCTAATACTATACTTTTTTAGACTTGTCTTTTTTGCATCGTATGAAACAAGGAAAGGGCAAATCTTGATTTCATATATTGTATAGAACATAACACTCAAAGGTTTATATTTTCTGTAGACTTAGTAATATGACCCCAGTCTTCCTTTATATACAATTAATAGTCTCTACCAGATTTTACCTTTAAGTAGTATTACTAATAGCTTAAAAGCCATGTGTTATGTTAGGAAGAGTTATACTCTATTTGTACTTGAGACAGTGTAGCCTAGGCTGTCCACCTCCTGAAGTCATATAATTTATAGACCTATGTCACTGGGCCCAACTTTTTTTGTTCTTTTATGTCCTTAAAGTTTAAGATTAATAAAACTAAAATTAATAAAATGACTGGTTCAGGTTTTAGCCTCCATTGTAAGACCCTCCTCAAAAAACATGCTTGTCAGATGCACAATTCCCATTTTCCTTCTCTCCTAACCAACATTCTTATATCAAATAGTAAGCTAAGCAGCTTTTAATGGTTAATTAAGAAAAAAAATTGCCAGTATTCAGGTTCTGATCTCTGTTTACTCTCACAGAATGAACACAAAAGCTCTAAGTCTGCTGACTCTTCTGAATGTGTATCAGAAGAAACATCTGGTTGAGATTTTGTCTTATCACAGTTGTGATTCACAAACTCGAAATGCTCCAGAAATGGACTGCCTTATTAGGCTTCAGGCTCAGAACATACAGCAGCGACACATAGTCTTTCTAACAGGTAGGAGCATGATCTTGCTGGTAACAGGAAAGGGGCTGGGGTGGATGTTAAGTCACAGTTTTGAATATACAGTGGAAGAGATTTTGTTGAGAGCAGGTATCAGTTTATGTACATTTTCCTTTTTTAATTTAGAGAAGAATATTAAGATGGTTTCCAGTTATACAGATAATGGAATTGTAGTTGCAAGTGCTGAAGACTTTATGCAAAACTTTACAAGTCTTGTGGGCTATCACAACTCAGTCACAGAAGAAAATCTTCAGCCGCTGCTTGGTGCTAATGAGAATCTTGAGTCGCAGTCAGGTAACTTTTCAGTAGTTTTCATTTTCTTTAGGTGACGCAGAATGAGGAATGGTTTTGTTTATCCAATAATAAAATATTTATTTGAAACCATTTACCTCAGTGTCAACAATAGACATCATGTAGAACTTAGTATGTACAAGATCTGCTCATTTATTATACCATAGTTAGTACAAATTGTTTGTTACTGTATAGGCTAAATATTCATTAGTCTATACTGTGGACAGCATATACTTATATAAGCTTTATTGCCTGCTGTTTGCTGTGAGTTTTCCTTAAGCCAGATAGAGGGATTGTTGGGCTACAAAGGTCTTTAGATGTATGTGCTTGTTTAATATCTTAAGTAATGAGAATATCTTACCTTCAGTCTTCTGTGAGATGGCCTCTGCTTGGTTCCAGACTTTAAAATAAAAGCTGTTCTTAAATTATTCATGGTGAAAAGCAGAGATTACTAAGCATTCAGTAGAGCTAACCAGTTTAGTAATTCAGTGCAGCTACATGTCAGAAGTTTTATTTCATATTTGTTTTATGAAATACTGAATTACCGTATAACTTTAGATGCTGTTTTGACATTAACCCCTTTGGAGCTGGGAGTTGGGATTTCCCAACATTAAACGTGAACACATTTCGCAGAAGCTTTTAGCATCGGATTATCTGGACACTCACACCTAGTGTGAGTGTTGTGACTAAGTGACCTTGTGGCAGAAGACCAAGCTTTAAGGGATTGTGGACTTTGCAGATCCTGACGCACTATATTGTGTGAGTAGTGTATAATTAATAACTAAACAAATTGTGTATTACAATAGAGAAGGGCTTTTTGTTTTTTAAATGTAGCTCTTTTAGAAAACGATGAAAAGGATGAAGAGGATATGTCTCTGGATTCAGGGGATGAAATCTCACATATAGAAGTATTCAGCAATGTTCATTCAGAAATATTGGCGAGAGAGACCAAAGGATCAAGTGGAACAGATCAAAAAAAGAATATTCAAATTGAATTGCAGTCATCTCTTGATGTGCAAAACAGTTTATTAGAAGATAAGACTTATTTAATTGATTGTGAAGAGAGAGCTCCTATTGATAGAGTATGCTCTGAAGGAGAGAACAGCAATTCAGCAGAACAAGATTCGTATAGTGACTTTCAGGCTTACCAAAATCAATTAAAAATGTCCCATCAGTTTAGCCATTTTAATGTTCTCACACATCAGACGTTTCTGGGAACGCCATATGCCCTTTCATCAACTCAGTCTCAAGAAAATGAAAATTACTTTTTATCTGCTTACAAAAACTTGGATACAGAGAAATCTCCATTAAATTAAGGATGTGTTCAAAGAGAAATTATAGTAATTTAAAAAATAGGTTGTTGTGGACTTTTCAGTTTCTTAACAGTGAATTGATGATTTATAAACAAGTTTCTTGGCCTTTCTGAAATTTTTTTCTTTCCCATTTATTTAAATCATGATGGCCCTAAAACATTTGAAACATCTGAAAATTGAAATATATTTTTTGACATATTGTTATCAGATTATCTCATGTTAGCACCTTTCAGTTTTACATCTGTTACCTGTACTTGGGCTTCAAATTGAAGTCTGTTTTATATGTAAAATTTGATGTTTATAAAAGAATGGTAAATAGTAATGACTTTCTTTAATGTCAGATGATAACTAATTTTGCTGAAATGTCAACTATTTATTTTGATTAAAGCTTTTGTATAGTGTTTTTACACAGGTATAAGCCAGCAGTGTAAATATTTATAGGATTTTGGCTCAGTACCTCAAACTATACCTAACAGTACAGTTGCATTTCAGGTAGTAAGCCTATGTACATAATACCAAGTAGCATTTTCTCAATCTTTAGTTTTAGCTATGGAAAGATTTGCTTCATTTAAATTTTGGTCAACTTTTCGAGATCTTTGATAAATTCTATTTTGTGTGATCCTTTAGTTAATGAACTTTTTAAAATGGGGCTTCTGTTTTCAATAATAATGGATAATTTGGAACACATCTTGAAGTGATTTTAATTAGAACTAGGTGGCACTTTAGTGCTACACTAAATACAAAAAGTATATGGTGGAAATAGATTTTTAAACCCTCATCTCTTGCCTGTTACTCATGCTAACTTCAAAATTGTGAAAACTAGAATCTCCACTTTAATATGATAAAAACCAAATTTTACAGAAAAGAAAAACTAGAGTGAAATGAATTTGTATTATTTGAGTAAGAGTCTATCTTTGTGTTAATAGTACTTTTCATACCCTAAAAGAACAATGCTGTTAACAGGTCAGGAATCTCCAGATTCTACTGTGGTAAGTAGAAAGTACTTTTACACCCTAATACAACAGAGATTTTTTTTTTTTAACTATAAACTTTTTTTATTGTATTTAGAAAACACATCATTTCACTACATAATGTGTAGTTTTTCATTGGGTGCTTGAAGAATGCTGTTGCATGGTGAGCATATTTAAAACAAAGAACTAAAATTATCTTCTTGGTTTGCAGTTAAGGGTATGAGATTCGTTTCCAACTCCTTTTGTTTCTGGAGAAGACCCTGCAATCACATTGATATTTTAGTGAAGGTATATAACCAACTTAAATATCTTTCTCTTTCATATTCTTCTTAATCCATGATGCAAAATATTATTGAACTCAGGATAGAATTGTTATTTAGACATAGCTTAAGTTTCTTTTTTTTTTTTTTTTTTTAAGTAATTCTTGTAATGGACCCTCTCATTTGGGTGTTGTCTAGAACATTTTCTACTATGAAAACAACAGGGATAGTTTTGGGGGAGAGGGGTTACCACAACTTGATTTCTAAGATGAAATCTATTCTCAAGTGCTCTTAAGATCATGAGAAGACACAGTAAGAGTCTTAACATTCCCAGTGTATATTGGCTCTGCTGAACAGCATGAGGGTTATAGTGAAGTGAAGCATGAACATCACATTCCTTTCTCTTGCTCCTTTGTATGAGTTTACCCAGGTTGAGTCTTGAGCTCAGGCTAGCTATATATAAGCAGAGGTAGCTCTTAAAGGACACAAGTAAATGGTGTCTAAGCAGGGCTGGTTTTCTAGCTTTAGGAAGGGCAGTAAAGGGTAAGCAACACACAAGCCAAATTTCCCTTAAATACAGTGTAATAGTCCCAGGATAGGCTTCATCACATTATCAGGTTTTATTTTTGCCTATGTAAAAGGTAGTTAAAAGCTTATGCAAAATCACAGGAATGAGTCTAGGAGGGAAGTCACATGTATAATTTCATACTTTGAACAGATCTATTCTGTTCTTAACTTTAAAAAGTGGACCATATTGGTTAAAATTCATTAAAGCATAATTGTATATTTGTTTCTTGGTTTTAGCACTTTATTGTGTTTCGATGTTTAAATGTACATATTTTTAAATAAAAGTTGTCTTAATATGCAAACTGTCTCAAGACTTTGATTCTCAGGATTGCGTATGTAGTCTAGACTGGTATCTTCCTGCTTCCCAAATGTTGATTATACAGGTGAAAATGGTAATTTGAGAGCAAATTCAAGGAAAAGGCTCTTTTGATTTCTGTTCAAGGTTAGTATGTAGGAATTGAAAAAATACCTGTTAAATAAACTGGGATGCAGACACTGCCACCATATAAAGAGAACAAACATCTAAAAACAGTTACTTGGTAAAGAGCATACCTGTCTTAGTTCTGAAAGCCCCTTAAGGATAGCTTGCTGTCGGTCTCTGTTTTTCACCAATTTAGGATTAAGAAGTGGATCCCTGATATGGTCAGAGTCAAATAGCTCTTGTTCTCGGGCACAATCTGAAAGACAGATCAGTTTTACAATTAGTCAAATAAATTACTTGGAGTTAGTGAAAGCATAGACTAATATTGAACCAAATTTAGGGTTGGGAGGTCACTCAGGTTTTGTTTGCTTGCTTATAATGCTACTTAACTTACCATGAGATTTTTGGTATTGGTTGTCCTGGGTTGAAGGCCTAGACAAGGGTGCATCTGGATCAAGGTAATAGATCTCATTTGTTCGAACGTAGGGAATAAAATGGGATGGCTCAGACATTTCATCTGATAATTTAGTATGACCATCTCCTAAGGTCAGAGTCTGTTTTTCATAGTCACTATTTTTTAGCGGTAAGTGTAATACATTACTCTGAGTTTGTTGAGTTCTGCTTTTTACTGCTGGTGATGTCTGAAACCTATTAAAAAACCAAACAAACCTTAATAAGAAATTGCATGTTTAAAACTGGAGTCATAGATAACCATCTATGAGCCACCATGTGGGTATTGGCAACTGAACTAGGGTCCTTTGGAAGAGCAACCAATGCTCTTAACTACTGAGCCTTCTCTCTGCCCTCTAGAAACTGCATCTTTTAAACATATCTGATCACACTGCAGTCCATTCAAGATGTGCATAGTCTATCTTAAGGAATACTATATATAGCAGTCTAAGGTTCTATCACTTTTCATAAAGCAGGACAGTAGAATGCAGTGCTGTGTGTATACACACAGAGACACACTCCAGTGGGGGTGGGGAAGTTAGATTCTAAGAATCATCAATGTTGGGTAAGTTCAACCTCATTTTTCTTTATATGATTTATCATAAAGTGATGCCTGTCCTATCTGAACTAAAGTTACTGTTCGAGACAAGTCTCAAACTATCTGCACAAAGAATAAAAAAAAATGACTGGTCTAAACTTCCCAGTACCATTTTCACCACAATCTATTTTCCTATCTGATTTATCCAAGCTGAATGCCTATTCACACTGTCAATAGATATGGAAAACTCAAACCTGTTCAGGCCCAGTCCAGCTAAAACCACTCTTCAGTAAGCCTTTGCCCAGTCAATGAAAGCCGTCCCTCTTTCCTGTTACTGCCAGATTCTACTGTGGAGCATAAGGAGCTGTCACCAAGATTTTGAGTGGATAGTTTGTATCCCACAAAGCATCACTAAGTAGCTAAGGAAGTAATAATACACATACCTTTCTTTACTAACTGAAGGAGTTTTCAGAGGTTCTTCTACCTTAAAAGACGGATAGTACAAACAAAAACTGAGTAAGTAACATTTTTACATACCCCCAAATACTTCTAAAACATGGTTTGTGTGTGTGCATGCATATGTGCATTGTGTGCACGGAAGTCAGAAGACAACTTAGAGGAGGCTCTGTGGCAGGCACCTTTACTGTCATCTCACCAACTTCTCAGACATAGTCAAATAATATGAGCATACCTAAGTACGAGATACCGTATGAGATACAGTATAGTTCCCAGGGCCAGGCACTCTTACCTTTCTAGTAACATATGAATTTTATTTTAATAAAATAACAGTATTCTCATTAATCACAAACTTCATATAGTTACTTTGAGGAAGGCACTCAAAAACTCTTGACCAGCCCGAAACTACACCAGAGTGATCCATTAGGATGACCATTCTGGGTTTTTTGTTGTGTTGGGTTTTTTTGTTGTTGTTATTGTGTTGTTTTCTAAGATAGGATCTCTAGAATTTAGACTAGGCTGGCTTCAAACTCCCTAGCCTCCCAAGTGCTGGGATTAAAGACTTGCCCCCACTACATCTAGCTCTGTTTAGGGTTTTATACTTTGACCACTATATTTTTTTATTTGTCCACCCCACCTTCCACACTACCCGCAAAAAAAGCTTTAATCTTTGAAGATTCATGTATCCTCCTGCCTACATTTAATCCTTTCGTCACCTATTTCTTGATCTCCTTTCTAAATTTTAGACTATACTTCCATATTTGCATGTTGTAAGCTAGGATGCATCCTCATATAAGTGAGAGTCTCATCTTTTGTTTTTTTTTTTTTTTGTTTTCCCCTTTCTGAGTTTGGGTTACCTCAACATACTTTGCAGATCCACCAATTTCCCTACAAATTTGATGATTTCATTTTTTTTGTTGTTTAGGTTTTTTCTTATTTGTTTCAGATAGGGTTAATTTCATTTTTCCTTATATCTAAGTAGTAGTTCATTTTGTATATGATATTTTCATATGCACTCGACTAAAGAAAGTACTTTATACATAAAGATTTTTTTTTCTTTTGGGGCTACACAGTCTGATGATGTGGCTAGCTAAAGCACAGACTATACAGCATGCACAGTTCATACAACAAGCATGGCTGACTTCCTCTGACATAATTTTCTATTTTCTACTTTAGATGAAAATATGGATTTCAGTAACTACTTTGAATTCAGAAACATTGAAATAAAAGAACCTTACCTTTTTGTTAAGATGCAACCTGCTCTCTGACTCAGTTTCTCGATGAGATGAAGCAAAAACGTGTGGTGAAGTGCCTCTATTTTGGGAGAGATTCTCAGGATTATTTCTCTCCATTAAGTGAAGCAGCTCCATCTGCCTTCTTACCTTTTTTTCTTCTTTCTCCTTCTGGAGATGTGCAGGGTACTTTGCTGATGCAGGAACATACCTTTTGAGAGGCTTATTTATATTCCAAGCAGGCTTCTTGGGACATTTCTTCATGAGTTTTGTTTGTTTCTCTGTTCTATACTGATTATACTGGCCATTATGCCAGCTGTTTTCTTTGTCTAAATTAGTGCCTTTATCCATACTTAGTTCTTGCTTCTCTTTTCTAATGCCAATCTGTCCACTGAATTCTGTAGAAATCTCTGGAGAAGAAAAGTCTCTAATACTCCTCTCCGTTACTGATCCAGTTACTGATCCACAGTGTGGTAGTGCATCATTGAAAATTCCTAAATTTACATCATCTAAAGAAAAATTACAAAAGATTAGTTTTAAAAACATGGTAAAAATACATAATTTCTAATCACTTTTCTCAAGTTATTTAATGACTCTCAGTTGCATTTATTTCTTAGGGCTAGTAGGACATGATCATGCACCAGGGTATCAAAGGACAACTTGTGAAGGGTGGTTCCTTCTGCTATGTGGGAACCAAGGATGGAACTCAGGTCCCTGGCCTTGGTGGCAATCACTTTTACCTGCTGTGCTATCCTTCCATCCCTAAGAATTTAATCCTCAATGAAGCTATACCCATTAAAGAACTGCTAATTATCCCCTTTAAAAGAAGCTAGAAACCACTATTCTACTTTGATATTCTAGAAATGACTATTCCAAGTAGCCCATATAAACAGCCCAGTACTACACACCCAGCAATTAGGAAGTGGAAGCAAGAGGACTGAAACATATTCAGTGCCAGCATGCTCTACAAAGTTCTAGTCCAGGCTAGATACCATATCAAAATTTGAAAAATTTTAGAAGTGATAGACTGGCTTATTTAACTAGCGTAAAGTTCTCAAAGTTTATAACCACGTTAGATACATGTCAGAATTTCCTTATGTTAATTCCACTATATAAGATATGCCTAATTTTGTTCATCTTTATAGACACAGGTTAGAAGTAACCTAAGTAATGCTGCTGTGAACCCAAGTTTCTATTATTTCAGGAAGATAAGGATTTTTTGGTTTTTATTTATTTTATTTTATTGGATGTTTTATTTACATTTCATATGTTGTCCCCTTACCCCATCCCCCACCCACCCAGGAACCCCCTATCCCCTCACCCCTCCTCCTCTGCGGATGTACCCCTACCTACCCCCCCACTCCCAGCTCCCCACCCTCAAATTCCCACCCCCTGGGGTGTCCAGCATTCATGAGGCCAAGGATCTCTCCTCCCACCTATGCCCAGCAGAGCCCTCTGCTCTTTATACAGCTGAAGCCCTGGATCCCTCCCTAAGTGCTCCCAGGCTGGTGGTTTAGACCCTGGGAGCTGTGGTTGGTTGGTATTTGGTTTTTATTTTAGATGTGAGTTTTCTGAGCAACTGTAAAAACTGTTTTCTACAACAGGTTCAACATTTTGCATTACCATTGACAAAGCATTTTTTTTGTTTGCTTGTTTGGTTTTGGTTTTGGTTTTTCTAGACAGGGTTTCTCTGTGTAGCCCTGGCTGTCCTGGAACTCACTCTGTAGACCAGGCTGGCCTCAAACTCAGAAATCCGCCTGCCTCTGCCTCCCGAGTGCTGGGATTAAAGGCGTGCGCCACCACCACCCAGCCCAAGTGTTCCGTATTTTTAAAGAACATTTCCATAGGAAATAAATTTGAATATCTGAAAAGGTTCTATGATTGTGATACTAACTACACAGGTATGAGCATGTTAAAGAACTCAAAACAGCTGGCACAGTGGTGTACACCTTTAATTGCAGAAGGCAGAGGCAGGGAAATTTCTGGGAGTCCCAAGAGCAGTCTGGTCTACACAGTGAGCTCCTATGCACCAAATAGTGTCCATTAAATGGGTAAGATTTGGTCTGGACATTTGGCTCACTGGTAGAGTGCTGGCATAGAATATATAAGGCCCTAATTCCCTGAACTACAAAAGAAAAGATGTTGAGAGAAGTTAAATTTTATGTCTATGTGAGTCATGTATCATCGTAAACCCAAAACTAAAAAGAGACCCCTTTAATTTGTTAAAGCCCTCAAATTTCTGAGCTAGAGACAAAGTAGATCAGTTTGGTAAAGAACTTGCCTGGCATGTACTACATCTTGGGTTCAGTCCCTAGTACCACATAAAAGGGGCATGGTGCTACATGCCTTTAATCCCAGTGTTCAGCAGGTAGAGGCAGGAAAATTAATTCTAGGTTACCCTTGGCTACAAAAGACCTTTTCATAAAGGCAAAATAAAAACCCACCAGATGTCTTCATTTTAAGCGTGAACTAGAACTTGGACCACTTTCCATGAGTACCTGTCTGAACACCGGTGTCTTTCTTGGGAGAGGTTGTTGAAGCAGCAGCTGTGCATGTTTCAACAGCAGCCTCCTCAGTGTCACTGCGGGAACTGGAGACGGTAGTGGGTGCCTTATAATTCACTTGTGCTGTGTCAAATAGCAATGAGAACAGATCTGAAAATGACATCTGAAGAGTACTAACAAACAGGCTAGCAATAGAACAGAGTGACAGTGTGTCTAGCACATAAGGCCCTGGGTTTGAGCCCTTGCACTGAAAGATGAAAGTAAGCTAAAGACTTTTTGACCATAAACTGTAGTAAACACTTTTGAAAAGTGAGACTTAAGATTGTAGCCTAAATTTATTACGAAAAGTTACCTGTATTCTTAGCACTTGCTGAATTTAAAAATCTAAGAGTGCATATTAAAATACTTATGTTACCTATTTCAGGATGACTGAAAATTTCTACAGAAAAGATATTGAAAAGTGTAATGTTTCAGGATAGCTTTCTAAATTATTAAGGATGGCTTAGGTGTAAAGACTCAGTTCCTTTACAAAAAATACTTAGTTAATGTGCATTTTTAAGGAATTAAAATAGACAAATATTTAAAATCATCTCAAAATCAAAACTATAAGTAAAATTCTGATTAGTCACTTACCACTGAGATTTTGAATCAGCCTGGATGCATCGTGTCCTTTCTGAGTCAGTTCTCGGATCCTCTGCTCCTGTTTGAGCCTCTGTGCCAACTCCTGAGCTCGCTGCATTGTGTGGAATAGCTCATTTGTCTTCAGAGCCATTGTTTCCTATCAAGATCGACAAACAAGAAACCAGTTACCAAGTGCATTCAACAATGTGACTGTTCCATGCAGTACAAGTGCTCGTGCCCTCCCTACGGATCAGACACAGGTCTAGATACCAGCTAGAGAAGAGTTAACAGGGCAAAGTTCTGGTCTTTTAGAGATTACAATGCTTCTAACATGTTGGTGGTTTTTTCTGTTTGTTTGTTTGTTTGTTTGTTTGTTTTGTTCTTGCTATTAGACAAGACTGTATACCAGACTGCCCTTGAACTCCCAAATGCTGGGATTACGGGCGACCACTGCCATCATACCTAGCTGTCTCAGCCTACTCAATGAAACTGACATGCAGGCCATATGTCTCCTTCCCACGTCCCATTTTGAAAGGTTGCAAGTGAAGACTGGCAAGAAGTGCAGACTTTGTGTTTTTAAAGCTGACAACTGAATTATCACTGGCTGATCTACTGCTTGTTAGGTCAGCTCAGACACAGCACCTGGACTACCCTATCTACACTGTTTGAATCAGGAATGGAGGGTTTTGCTAGACAGTGAGACATCAACTCTTTGAAAAGGCTACTACTGAGCCAAAAGGCCTCTAACACAGTGAGGAATTTCATCAGCAATCCCAGCCAGTCATTACTGTTTTTACTATCTAGAATCATGATTACTTTAGATTTATTTAGAGGTGTGGGTAGGTATCACAGTGTGTATATGGAGGTCAGATGTCAACTTTCAGAGACCTCTCTTGGCACATGAGTTCTAGGTACTGGTGGCCAAGAGCCCTTATCTGTTGAGCCATACTTGCAGGCCCAATACCTAGAGTTATTAGTAGGTTATACATGATCACAGTGATGTTTGGTGCTGCATTCAACCCTGACCACCTCCCCTTAACAGGCCAATCATGCAGCATCATAGATCTGGACCATGTGAGGAGTACGACCTTGGCAAGCATCCCTTTTCTTACTCAGCTGTAATATCTCTACATGCAGCAGCACATTTCAAAACAGACCTTGGCCTCTTCTTACTCTTCCTTGCATGCTATGAACACCTACTTCTTTCTGTTTCTGCTTAAGAATGTCCTCTTCATACTGCCTCTGCATCTCCTCCCGTTCCCTTGCCAAGCGCAGCTCCTCTTCCTGCTCCTCCTTCTTTCTTTGTTCTTCCTCCAGCCGTTTTTTCCTGCGGTTCTCCTCTACCTGAGCCGTGATTGCTTTCTAGTCATAAATAATTACAAGTTACAAATAGAAATGCACGCAGTACTGGCTTTGATGATGAGAATACAATTTATCAGTTAACATACACGGAGGTGTTGGGAGAGAATTGTGCTTACAGCCCATGTATCACAAAGAGAATCAACTAATGAAATAACCTCAGTTCTCAGCACGCTGCCTGATGCGAGAAGCTCTCAGCTTTTCATCAAGTTCAAGAAAGAAAATTAACTGGCCCATATTACTCACATAAAATGTTTAAGATGAATTACTGAACACAGGCTGCATGCTGAGTGCCGATCTGTGCTGGGCACAGTGCTGCGTGCTGAGTGATCATCTAGGTTGAATACTTGCTGAATGTGGCCCCTGCTACTTAGAAGACTTAGGTAAGAAAACGTGTAAGCTATATCTGAGTAACATGGTGACAGCGCTCTCTCTCTCTCTCTCTCTCTCGCTCTCGCTCTCGCTCTCGCTCTCTCTCTCTGAGAGTTTTAATCTCAGCCTTACATTACTACTAGATTGCATAGTCAGAAGTCTACTTTGATATTTTTTTTTTTTTTATGTTTTCTTTCAAAGACCTTAAAAAACTCCGAGAAAGTAGCCAATATTTAATGATAGTATAGTCACATATACTACACTCATTTAAAGGCTCCACCAGAAGGCAGACAGCATGGTAATAATACTGTCTGGTCCTCAGCCCAAGCTTAATTCTAGTATGATGCCAGCTATGTCAAGAGACTGGATTTACAGCATGATAAAACTGGACCCAAGCTGAAAATATACATCAGGATTTCCAGCTGGGTGTGGTGGTATATGCCTGTAATCCTGGGATTTAGGAAGTGGAGACAGGAAAATCAAGAATTAAAGGTCAGGCTGGGCAGTGGTGGCACACGCCTTTAATCTCAGCACTTGGGAGGGAGAGGCAGGTGGATTTCTGTAGCCAGCCTGGTCTACAGAGTGAGTTCCAGGACAGCCTTGGCTACATAGCAAATTCAAGACAAGCCTATACTATATTAAAGCTTATCTCAGGAAAAAAAAATTAAATTTTCATTTACTTGGATATATGCTGACCATGATCATGACTAAGACAGACAGCAATGCTTTACCATGTGAGGCATGCTATGAAAACAACACCAAATGGTTTACAACATAATACCTGATGTTCTAACTGTTTTTGTCGGCGTCTTTCCCGCTCCTCAATCTGTGCTGGATCTAAGAGTGCAGTCATAGAACGGAGAAAGCTATGAAAAAACATACATTACTTATTCAGAACTCTAGAAAAGTTGACCAGTTTTTGCTTAAGCTACATCTGCTAAGGATTTCTATTTCAAAGAAGATTGCCAAACTGAAACTAACTGGACATAGTGACAGTTCTATTCAAACACACTTTCTTTTTTTTTTTTTTTTCTCAAACACTTTTTTTAAAGGAAACAACACTGAAAAAATCAACTTACTTTGTTTTCTGACCATGTGAAACTGCCATATCTATAATGGGTCTGGCTCTTTGTTCTTTCTCTGAAGGCTCCACCTGGACTCCAGGCAGAGGTGTGTAAGCACCATTGACATCAGCCAGTTCCTGAGTGTCAGGAGACACACAAAGCGACTCCAGGTGTTGGTGTGTTAACTGAGAGGACAGTCGAGACTGAGAAGCAGGATGACTCTTTAATGAATCAAAATGCATTGCCCATCTGTCATGTTCCTCACCCTAACAATGAAAAATAGGAAATGCTCAGAACTTAACTATTCCCATACAGAATTATAAACAACAAGCACAATCTGAAAGTCACCACTGCTGAGCTGAAGGTGTCTCAGTGATGAAGTGCCCCAGCTGCTCTTTCAGGAAGAGACCGGGATCAGTTCCAGCACCCACCCACATGGCAGCCAGCAATCGCCTGTAACTATAGTTCTAAGAGATCCTCACCCTCTTCTGGCTTTTTTGGGCACTGGTGCAGACATACATGCAGGCAAAACACCCAGACAAATAAAATAGGGGATAAAATCTCAAAAAAAAAAATACTTTAAAAACAAAATTGTTTAATTTTTTGGTTCTTTGTGTAATTAGATAACTGCCTTAGAAAATGGTTTTTAAATGCATTTCTAAAGTTTTAAAAAGCTATATAAAACCACACTAAGTACATTCAGAGAAAACAGTTTCCTAAAGACAAATGTATAATTTGCCAAATAATTTCAGAATCTCAGATCGTGTGAGTAAGGACTTGGAATTTTATGTCCTGAGCTACCTGTGAACATATCATTCTTTCCTCTGCTTTCCTTTGCTGGTCCTCTTCTACTTGTTTATTCAACTCTTCAATCCATTTTCTCTGCTGCTCCTGTTGAATGGTGCGGCAAGGGGACTCCAGCAGTCCTGCTTCCTGGAGAAGTCAGGAGCAGAGTGAAGTGAGGCCTCTACAGTGTAAACGTTACCAAGTAACTCACACAGACCTAACCCAGGAAGGGGGCTCCATGAGAGAAGCAAAGAATCTGACCACACTACCTAGGAGACAAGCTCTGACCCTCAGAATTGTTTCTTAAACATACACTTGCAGACAGTGTAAGGTACCTCAGTACCCAGAAAGGAAATGTTTTCTTGGATTCTTCACTTAAAGTTGTCTATAAAAATACAATTTGGGGAAAGGCTATTCTGGTGACTGCTTAGATCTTCCAAGAATAAAAACAGCAAAACAAGTCAAATCACACCCAACTTCACAGGTGTTGCTCACCAATGTTAACAATAGCTGGGAAATGGCCTTTGACAGATGGAGAATGATATGTGGTCCATATACACAATGAAATACTATTCAGCTGTAAAGAAGGAAGGAAGGGAGGCAGGGACTGGAACCTTGAGTCGTGAAATGTGCAGGTAAATGGATGAACTAGAAAATATGAGGTAACCCAGACACAGAAAGACAAACACTGAATGTTCTCTCTCACTGCGGTTCCTAACTCCAAATCTTTAGATGTGAATATATAACCTAGAGCAGCAGTTCTCCACCTATGAGTTGTGAGTCCCACAGGGGTCACATGTCAAATGTTGTGCATATCAGATGCTTACATTATGATTCACAACACAAGCAAAATTACAGTCACGAAGTAGCAACAAAATAATTTTGTGGTTGGAGATCACTACAACATGAGGAACTATATTAAAGGGTCACAGCATTAGGAAGGCTGAGAACTGCTGACCTGCAGAAACTAAGAAAGTGAACAGGACTGTGGGGGTGGGCTGAGGGGTCCTAAGAGGAATGGCAGGTAATACAGGAAAATGGGAAAGGGGACTTCAACTGGGGAGGGATGGGGGAAACAGTTCAGATGGAGGGAGGAGGGAGGGAATTATTATTTAAAAAATAATACAAGTGTTATATATATCTAAAATTACATCTAAGTGTTATATGTATATAAATGTCTATAGTTTAAGTGAAGTTACAACACTTGGGGTTATAGTACCCTCAGTAAGAATCTTAGAGTATCTAACAAAACCCTAATAATACCAACATGAGAAACCTCCTTTCAAATTGCTAGTCAAGAGAGCTCAAGAGACTCCCAAAACAATACAGGGTTGTGTCACAGAAGTTGAAGGTAAGTCTGTATTGCTGAAGACACCAAACTCTTGGAGCGCTGGAACTGACCTGAAAGCATCCTCTCTGGAGACTAGCTTTTGTAATACAGGAGGGCAATATATGAGCTGCTAAGGGAAGAAGCAACCAATAGTCCTACCCAGCTCCGATGCCACAACAACGACCAGCACAGCAACATATTCCTAAAGGTACAATAGTGGCACTAGTATTTTAGCAGTAACCAGTAGTTGTCTAATTGGACTCCAAGGCCCACTTAACAGGAGGTAAATCATTCTTGGTACTATAAACCAAGTCAACTACATATGGACAACAAGACCATGAATCTTAGAGAATCTACAACTACCACTTTGCTAAACCAATATAGTTCCTAAGTGTATTCTAAATACTTATCCTTTTACCCATAGATAAGTATGGTTCTCATCTCTCATCAGTGAAGCAGCAGAAAGCATTACAGAAAGACACAACTTATTAACCATCCAACTGATAGACCCAGAACACAATCCCTAGATCTAGGTACAATACAACCTACAGCCAAGGTTCAGGGAACATCACAAAAGTGGGGTGAGGGGTGGAAAGATTTTAAGAGCCTGAGCAGTAGGATAAAGACTGCTCTAAGTGTGTCTTTAGCTATGATAGGGAAGCTACACCCACGAAATCTCAACATGGCTGCCTAAAGAAAACATGAACAATTCCAACATCAGTTGACATCCCAACGAAGATGGGGAAATCTCTACTCCCCCACCCCCACCCCCACACACATAGATGAAGACTTACAAGCCAAAATGGGGAAAATTGGTCTTCCCCAGGGATGAGCCTCTGGTTATTCAATACTAAGTGGTCAGTCCTAGAAACATGTACATGCAGGAAACACTCAACTGACTCAGAAGGTTGTACTATATGTGTGTTTATATGTATGTATACCAACGATGGTTAAAGAAGAAAAAACTGTAAAATTGGTAGGGAAGCAGCAGAGGAGAGGGAAATTTTAATTAAATTTTAAAAGATTACTTTAAATAAAACCCTCTTTGAAACCATATGACTCATATAAGTTTAGCATACAGTTCAAAGTCTTAGTGTTTCACATGCTTACTTATCATGCTTTGAGTTGTCTCTACTCAGAATCTCTTGACACACACGCACACACACACACACACACACACACACACACACACACCCTAGATATAAGTCCTTCATCCAGATACGTAAGTTAAGAACAAACTTATTTATCAAGTCCTCACTTGTTTCTTGTGTGCATGGGTGTGGGGTGTAGAGAGCAGCGGTCATTCAGAAGTGTGCTTTATTCTGCAGGAGCCATCCAACTTGCTTTGTACAGTGCTTTCTCACCAGGACCCAAGGCAGGCTAGGCTGGGTGAGCAACAAGCCCTGAGATCTGCACCCCACCTCCGCTTCCCCAGCACTGATTACAAGCCTGCACCACCATTCAGTCCTCAATATCAGTGCTAGATGATTCTAGATATTTTTAATGCTAAACTGGGGACTTTTAGAATATTAATCTTAATCTGGCCTTTTTGTTGTTTTTGAGACAGTGTTTCTGTGTCGCTCTGGCTGTCCTAGAACTTGGAGATTCACCTGTCTCTGCCTCCCATGTGCTGGAATTAAAGGCATGCACCACCACCACCCAGCTTAATCTGGCTTTTTTGATTAAGCTTATTTCTATGGGTATCATTACTTTGTGAATATTAATAGTAGCTTGTATTCCTTGAATAAACCCAACTCTCCAGATTAATCTTTATAAATTTTCTAATGTTTCTAGTCAAGTCTTAATATCAAAAATGTTTTGTTAGTTTTGGTTATCAGGCTCACTGCTCTGAACGTCACACTGAAAACCTTCCTACTGTCAATACATCTGGGCCTGGAGTTTACTTTGCTGGGGCTACCTTCTTTCCCTGCTTCATCTATGGTCTGAGATAAGGTCTCACTGCATCGTAACCTAGGCTAGTCTCAAACTTAGGATCCTCCAGCCTCAGCTAACTGAGTGTAGATACTTTAACGGTGAATTCAATTTCTTCAGGAATACAGTACCGCTTGGTCACTTTTGTTTGCTGTTGTTTATTTTTATCTTTTACTTTATGTGCATTGGTGTTTTGCCTGCATGCATGTCTGGGTGAGGGTATCAGATCTTAGAGTCACAGACAGTGGTGAGCTGCCATGTGGGTGCTAGGAACAGAACCTGGGTGCTCTGGAAGAGCAGTCAGTGCTCTTAATCAATGAACCATTTTGCCAGCCCCAATTTTTATTATTTTTAATTATGTGTATGTATAGCTATGTGCATTGGTGCAGGTGCCCATAGAGTCCAAAACAGAATGTCAGATGCCCTGGAGCTGGAGTTACAGGTGGTCGGGAACTACATGGATGCCAAAAACTGAGTTTAGTGCTGTATAAGAGCAGCGAGTACTCTTAACCATTGAGCTCTCTCCAGCACCAGTTGTTCTAGATGTCCTCTTACTTTAAAAAAAAATGTTTATAAACCCTACATCCTTTTTAAGTCATGTTAGTCTTTTGAGGAGCTTACATGTTGTACTGAACAGTGTTATGTCAACTTGACACAAACTAGAGTCATCTGAAAGGAGGGAACTGCAATTGAGAAGATGCCTCCATAAGATCCAGCTGTGTGGCATCTTCTTAATTAGTAACTGATGAGGAGTGGGTGGTACCACCCCTGGGCTGGGGGTTCTGGGTTCTGTTACAAAGCAGGCTAGCAAGTCATGAGGAGCAAGCCAGTAAGCAGCACCCCTTCATGGCCTCTGCATCAGCCCGTGTTCCAGGTCCCTGCCCTGTGTGAGTTCCAGTTCTGGCTTTCTGTTGGTGATGAACAGCAATGAGTATAAGCTGAATAGAACCCTTTTGTCCCCAACTCGCTTTTTTTGGTTGTGGTGTTTTGTTTCATCACAGCAATGGAGACCCTAAATAAGTCACATGTTAATGACTTTTAACAACTTGTGGCTTTAATTATTCCCAGTGTACAAGTTGACCTTGGTGCCCAGTAAGATGGCTCAGGTAGGACATTTGTCTGGCATGACGAACTAACTCTTCAATGTTGTCTACTGACCTCCACACAGGCTGTGGTATGTGTGCACCACCACATATTCACACACCACACACACACACACACATACACGCACGCATGCACACATGCAAAAAAAAAAAAAAGTGAAAAGACAAAAAAAAAAAAAAAACAAGCTATTAATTGGCAATTAAAAGAAAAGACACTCGAATCATGTCTTTGAAGCAAATAAGTTATACACAAATCAAGGACTAATGGATTTAAGCATCCAAGGTACTAATACTTAGGACTCAACATCTAATGGCTGACTAGCTCTAAGTGGTGGCCATCCATCAGCCTGGATGGCCATCACCTGACTTGTGACAGAATGTCTAAAGAAACAGCATGAGAGAGAGACAGGGACAAAGGCAGGGAGGGAGGGAAAGACAAAGCATGTCTTCATCTAAAATTAAACAACAGTAAAGATAGGAAGTCCCAGAAACACTGCCTATGTAAAGGATGCTGGAATGTTAACACCTATGGACCATCTGATAAGCCTGTCAAGAGTCAGCAGTGGATTTCTGTGCTAGTTAAAACCCTAACTGTACTAGGAAGGAATACACTCTGACTCATGCACCTCTTTTTATCAGACTATTCAAACATTGGGCCCCCCAAAAAATGAATCCTCTGCTGGAGGAGGAGGAGGTTGAAGTCCAGGGGCCAGAGGAGGAATCTGTCTCCTAGAGAAATGCCTTGGCAGACAACTCTGCAGACCGACACAGTGCTGGGGGGACTGCCTGGCTGGATGCCTAGTGATGCACCTCACCTTAATCTGCACTTTTCTATTGAGTTAAGATCCTCCAGATGGACCTGGGGTGGGGGCATGCTGGATCTCTCTGTCCCTCTTCCCAATGTGACACCACTGAGTGAGTCTTCTTTTCTGCTTTTCAGTATTAATTTGGCTCTTTTAACGAGCTTTCTGAGAACAGCTGGCTAAACCTGCTTTGTTGGGCACAGGTTGTGACTCTTAAGTCCACTAATGACAGAGCTGGACAGATGGCCCAGCTAGAGGCATCCAAGACCAAACCTGAAGATCTGAGCTTAGTGCCCAGGATCCACATGGTGGACTGAGAGAACCGACATCGGAAGTCCTCTAACACCTCCACTCAGAGTGGTGTACACATGCCCACAGACATTTAACACATGCCAATAAATGATAAATGCAGAAATAAGTAACACTCTTTTATAGGAAACTAGAGGAGGTGGCTGTGGTCTCAAAACTTAACCTAGTAACACAGCAAGGCCACTTATAAACTGCAGATGGAAATTTAGAAAACTAGTTTAGACCATGATTAAATACCATCCTAAACCTAAGAAGAGTACAGTTTTTCATTTTTAATCAATAAACACTAAAAATAAAATTTATAGTATTGGGCATGATGACAGATGCCTGGAATCCAAGCACAAAGTGGCTGAGGCAGGAGGATTGCCACAAGTTTGAGGCCAGCCAGGACTACATATCAAATTCCTGCTTCACAAATAAAACAAACTGCCAAAGTAAACTGTATAATTTGAATATTATTTCACATTTTAAAAGTTGTAATAAAGGCCAGGCATGGTGACACACATTTTTAACACCAGCACTTGGGAGGCAGACGCAGATCTCTTTGAATTTGAGGCAAGACAGGTCTACAAAGTGAGTTCCAGGACACCCAGAGCTACCTAGAGAGACCCTAACTCAGAAAAGGAGGAGGAGGAGGAGGAGGGGAAGAAGAGGAAGAGGGGGAAGAAGAGGCGAGAGAAGAGGAAGAGGAGGAGGAAGAAGAGGAGGAGGAGGATGGAGAAGAAGAGGAGGAGAAGAGGAGGAAGAAGAGAAGGAGAAGAAGAAATTGTAATAAAGATGTCTTAGGCTAATGCACACAAAGACACAAGTGAACGCTTGACTGGACTTGATATACTTACCTTAGATTGGTCAAGGACTTGAAACTTCTCAGATGGTTTCCAAGAATTATTCCATTTTTGAGAAGCTTCTTTTTCTTTCTTCTTTAAAGCAACCTGTTCATCTGTAAATAATGTGCTTTTTTAAAAAAAGTTCAAAGACTGTAAAAAAAAAGAATCATGTAAACAAATCATGACCTCTTATAGAGTGCAAACTGAAACAGAGTTAGTCACAGTTGTTTGTGTGGGAGAAGATGCCTGACAAGTCAGAAAGGAACTCTGAAGCATGTGGTGTCACCGAAAACACTGAATCAGAATCCAACTGAAGTGTACGAAGCACCAACAGATACAAGAATGCTTGTACTACAGCTATCAACAGTATAGAACGGTTTCTCAGAGTACTTGGCTTTGCTACCCACTCTGTGGTTCTACCTTCCTGCATTATTATTCCTGACAGACTTAGAAGGTACACTGCCAAACTTCAGGGTCAACTACAAACTCAACCACCTCCTACCTGTTACAGACAAACTGCTATCTTGCCAGCTAAACTTTGGTTTCTTCTGTAAAGTAGAGTAACAGTATTGCCTATTTCAGGGCAAGGTCTAGCACAAAGTGGGGATGGCAGTCCCTACTCGCTAACTGCTGGAAGGGAGACAGGAGCTAAAGCTATGGGCTGCTGAGATGGCTCATTGGGTAAAGGCGCTTGGAAGAAGAGAACTGACAAATTGTTCTCTGACACCCCTACAATCCATGCATAACTTTAATTGTTTTTAAAAATAAAGCTCCTAGTACCATAAACACACACACACACACACACACACACACACACACACACACAACTGAACTATTTTTTAATAAAGCCATACCTCAAGCCACAAGATTTCTATAATAAAAACCATAAATAGAAAATGTTTAGGAATATTTGCAGGGTCCAGAAGGATGCCACTGCTTTTGGTGCACAGTGCACAGTACCAAAGACACAGGGCACTGTGAAACTCAAATGCTTCTTAGGAGTATGCAAAGAACTACAGATGTCAAATGCTACCAAATAAGACATTAATATACTAAGAGGTAACAATATTCCACAGCCAACAGAACTATAATGGAAGGTACAAAACTTACCTAGCTCTTTTTTCCACTGGGCTCTTCTTGCTTCCAACAAACCTCTATCACGTTCCCTTTCCCCCAGGGTACTGAATATGTCAGCTGGTCTCCATTCATTCTCTCTAGGATAAAACATATAAAAAGCCAGGAACCTTATCAGGTTTCTATGTGACAGACTCCATAAGCATTAAGTATAAGCGTTTAAGGAGCCAAGTCTCCAGAGTATGTCACACGAAGTGGACAAGCAGTTAGGTATTCTACAGATACCCCAGAGACAGAGGGTGTCACCTACACGGCAGCTTTCTGAAATGCCTCTTGAGCTCTCCGGTGGTCATGCTCATTTTCACTTGCCACAGGGGAAACGGCCTCCATTTTTTGCAGTAATCCTGTGACATTCACATCCTTTGGCTGACTAGGAATATTGATTAAATGTAAACTATCTTGACCTAGGAAATAAAATACATGTTTTAAAATCACACCTACTGAAATACTTTATCCTAACATACTCCTATGCAGTTGAAAGAAAAGCCTTAGCAGGCATGATGGGTCACACCTATAAGCCTCAGGTAAAACTCAGGAAGCTGGGACAAGAGGATCACTCTGAGTTTGAGGCCAGTCTGGACATCACACCGAGTCCTAGGCCAGTCTAGGATGCAGAGTGAGACCTTGTCACAACAAAACAAATTCATAAAAACGGAGGGCAACTGTGGGGGAAGTACAGACCTTTAGGCTCAGAACTCAGGAAGCAGGAGCTGGCCAGTCTCTGTGATTCAGGCCAGCCTGGGCTACACTATAAGACCCTGTCTCAAAAAACAACAACAAACTTGTAAAACAATCCTTGAAATATCTACAAAAAAAAAAAAAAAAAAAAGCAGCCACAGCTGTTGACATGATGGTACAAACCTGCGATATGGGAACTCAGCAGGGAGAGGCAGGAAGATCAGGTGTTAAAGGGTAGCCTAGGCTACAGGAGGGAATCTCAAAAGCCAAAACCCTGATAGTCCAGTCAGCAGAGCACTGGCCTTGCAGGAACAGAGCCCTAGGTTGGACCCCCAGTACCACATAAATCAGCATGTAGTACAAACCAATAGTCTCAAAGGCATCTGGGAAGGAAGGATAGGAGAATCAAGAGAAAGGGTTCAAGACCACCCTGGAAACAACAGCAGTAACAACAAGCTGGCATAGCATTTTGTTTTGAGACACGGTACTGAGGCCAGCCTGGCCTATATGAGACCTTACCCTAAGTAGATAAATAGATCAAGAGAAAAGAAAAAAATTGGGACCCAGAGATTACATAGTTGACTCATGGCCTGCCCATACAATTTTTTACATCAAATAAAAAAAATCTAAGTGCTGGGCAGTGGGGGGGGTGGGGGAGTGACTTTAATTCCAGCAGAGGAAGGTGGATCTGAGTTCGAGGCCAGCTTGGTCTACAGAATGAGTTTCAGGACAGCTAGGGCTTGCCTACTGTGCCCAGCCAGTACATTCCACTCCTGGCACTGAATCCAGCAGTAGGGTAGTGCACACCCGTGTCAGCACTCGGGAGGTGGGGGCAGGAAGGCACGAGCTCAGTTTTCAGCTACGCACTGAGTTTGAAGCCAGTCTGGTTACATGAGGTCTGTTTGACAAAACAAAACAAAAACCTTCATTCACTCTTGGCAGAATAATTTATATTTATGGCTTAATTAATATAATTTAAAATTATGTGTAATTTGTAATATGTAACTATATTAGAATATAAATCACAACACAAAGAGGAGCAAATGCAAACAGCTTGATAAAAACCCATGGCCTCGTTTTCCTTCTTTACCTGTGGACGTCTGCTGTGAACTGTTGTCTGTGTGTCCCAGCTATCACAACCAAACCACATGTTTTATGGAAGGTTCATACTCTAGCTTGAACAGTGTTGTGATTCCTCCCGAATGTGTTACTTCTCTCAAAGAGGGAGCATATAAAGTGCAAGTCACCTCAGGAGTAAGTAAAATGTCTGAACTCTACTCTCGAAGTACCTTCTAATGAGAGAATTCTGAGCAACAAGTCTAGCTAAAGAAAGCCAACTTCCTTTATTTTACAAAGATCATAGACTGGGAGCAGGGATCCCACTGTGAGCATGAAGTTACCTGGCCTTTGGCTCCTTGTGTGACCCTTCCATGGTCATGGCCAATGTGGCTTTCATTTCACTGTATTAATTGCAATTTAGTATTCTGGGTACTTACATAGTCACAATTCCTTAGCTCAAAGCTGAAATTAGGTTTCTAAAACATAACCTTGGTTGGTGAAACAGAAAGCCTACAATACTCTACTACTTCTATGGATACATCTGAACTTCACTGCTCAAAGATTGCTACAGCTAACCTCGGTGTGGGCAGAGGGACAGGAAGGACACACAGCAGCCAGAACAATGGATTACAGTAACTCCAGTCTTCACAGAAAGGTTTTCTTAAGATTCACTTCAAATGTCAGACACGTATCTTTTTCAACCCTTGGCTGTAATTTTTTTTGTTTGAAATGAGATCCCACTGTGTGACCCAAGCTTGCCTTGGGTTTGTAGTCCTTCTCCTGCCAGTTGGCTGAGTAGAGGGATTCCAGGGTTGAAACTCATATCTGACTTATATAAATATTTTAGCTGCTAAGCTATCTTTCCAACCCCTAAACCAGATATTTTAAGACTATTTTGAGGCCTGGAATAGTAGCACACACTTTTAATCCCAGCACTCAGGAGACAGAAGTAGGTGGATCTCTGTGAGTTTGAGGGCAGCTTGGTCTAATAAGAGTTCCAGGACAGCCGGTTGGTGGTGGCGCACGCCTTTAATCCCAGCACTTGGGAGGCAGAGGCAGGTGGATTTCTGAGTTCGAGAGTTCGAGGCTAGCCTGGTCTACAGAGTGAGTTCCAGGACAGCCAGGGCTACACAGAGAAACCCTGTCTCGAAAAACCAAAAAAAAAAAAAAAAAAAAAAAAAGAGTTCCAGGACAGCCATGCCTACATAGAGAGATCTTGTCTCAAAAAAAAAAAAAAGTTTTGAATGCTAATTCCTAATTTAAAATATGACAAAACTATAAATCAATTTTACATATTTTATGCTTAAGAAAAAGACTAATGTGAATAATAACTTAGATTACTGCATGTTAACTCGGATTTTAAGAGACATAGTTACAAAAAAAGCCAACAAATCTGCAATTTGAAAGCATACTGTGGACAAAAGTTAACAATTAAGAGAACCCTTACTTGCTTCCTCCTCCTCATTCTCAGTGAGGGACGCAGCTCCATTTCCCTGGCTCATACTCAGCATCAAGATCTGCCGAAGCTGGTCTTGTGTGAGACACACCACACTGCTGCTCATGTTCCCTGCTGGGCTGTGCTCTTTGTACGGCTTCTGTTTACCAGCTGGACAGGTATCTGTACTGTCTATAATCTTCCGTATATTAGAGCTTCTAGGTGAAATCACCTTTTGAACTCGGAGACTGTCTTTTTCTGAATACTGTTTACATAAATCCGTATTGGGTGAAAATGTCAATCTACTGTTTTCAGGTTTTGCTTTCGTAGTGTCTGAAGTAGAGATCTTCTTTTGAGAAAGGTTTTCACTCCCAACATAAGTATTTTGTGTTGATTTTAAAGTATGTCCAGTCTGTTTTGTTCTTAAAGGACATTTTGCGATCTTGATCTTATTTCCCATCTGTTAAAATACAAGTTTATTCTTTGTGACAGTGCATTAAAAAAAATGACATGATCATTTTGTCTGGAGACACAGTATTGCTATGTGCCCTAAGCTGGCCTTCCTCCACTCACCTCTTCCAAGAATATAAGCCTGAACCACTACACCCAGCGAATAGTCACCATATTAAAATCTGTGATAAATCAGGCCTCTAAACTTCTCTGTTTGCTTAGTTAGATCATAACCATAAGAGGCTGTTTGGCTTTGCAGACTTTCCTCCTAAAGATTCAACAGTGAGAAATAATTTTGATTCCAGGTAATAGTAAAGCTGTATGCTATGGGTCATCTCCATTCTATGCCAGCTTTGAATTTTGTATCATTACATTACATAACTTACATAATCTACTTCTTTTAGGTTACCAGTCCTTATCCCTGCACGACCTTAGCTCCCCTGGTCTCCCTCAGTCCAGTCTTGTGTTAATTGTTGCTGTGTTCTACTCTCCTGGACACTCGCTTCCTCACACTCTCATCCTATACTGTTCTCCACGTGGTCCCCTCGATCCCCCAGGGGTCCTGTACTGACCCTGTGGGAGCCACAACTCCAAGCTCTCTACATTTTCCACCATAAGTTCTAGATAATGATGGCACCTCCTGCCTTCCAGCTCATTTTCCCATCTCCAGCTCTAAGTCCTGTTTACCTGAGTGGGATCTATCACCTGTCCACCCCAAAACCTCTCCGATTGCTCTCATTTCTCTTCTTAATGATCTTCAATGTCACCGTGACCAACTAGAATTGTTTGTCATTTTTTATTCTGCAGTCTATTACACATACTAAGCAAATCCTAACTCTAGAAAAGTCCAATCTCCATAGCATGTGTGGTGGTTTGAATATTCTTGGCCCAGGGAGTGGCACTATTAGGAAGTGTGGCCTTGTTGGACTAGATGTGGCCCTGACAGAAGAAGTATGTCACAGTGGGCGTGGCCTTTGAGGACCTAGTGCTAGCTGCCTGGAAGCCAGTCTTCTAGGCACCTTTTGAACAAGAGGTAGAACTCTCAGCTCCTCTAGCCCCACGTCTGCCTGGATGCTGCCATGCTTCCGCCTTGATGATAATGGATTGAACCTTTGAACCTGGAAGTCAGCCCCAATTAAATGTTGTCTTTATAAGAATTGCCTTGGTCATGGTGTCTGTTCACAGCAGTAAAACCCTAACTAAGACAGCATGTAGGTACCAATGGAGAAACTATAGTAACTGGTTTCATTTTACCCATAAGCAAATAGGCTACCTTGCAGTCCTGCATTTATCAAATCCATATACTCTCTGTGTTAGTAAGTATTCATTCTTCTCATTCATAAAAGCCCTAATATTTCTCCTATTCTATTCTCAGCTGAAGATTTAGCAATTTCACTGAAAATCTTACACCTAAGTATTTAGACATTGACTTTAAGATTCTATCACAGGGGCTGGGGAGATGTCATAGTGGTCAAGGGCATGTCAAGCTCTTAGGGAAAAACCAAAGACCTGAGTTAGGCTCCCAGCATCCAGGTCAGGCAGCTTACAACTTTCTGTAACTGTAGCTCCAATGCTTCTGGTCTCTTAAGGTTCACATACACAGACTCCTACACAGACATACATGTACACATTCAACTAAAATTAATCTTAAAAAGAAGTGTATCATCAAATCTCTACCAACTTCTGTGCTCAAAGTTCTTGCCCTTTCTACTCACATACAATCCATGTCTCATTTTTCATGTTATTTTACATGTATAGATGTTGTGCTTGCATGTATGTCTGTATCACATGTGTGTAGTACTCAAGGAGGCCTGAGGAGTGCATGGGATCCCTGAGACTGGAATTATAGATGGCTGTGAGCCACCATGTGGGTGCTGTGAATTGAACCCAGGTCCTCTGGAAGAGCAGCCAGTGCCCCTAACTACTAAGCGCCACAAATCCCACTTGAGGGGACAAGGGAGATCAATCGATCGATCGCTCCTACTTCCTGACAACCTTTTCTCTCTCCTAAAAAAATCTTTCTCTTCAGCTAGATCAAAAGTAACTGAATACAAGAATGCCATTATTACACTATCTATAAAATGTTTAACCTCAAGCTCAGTCTGGTGATGTATGCCTGTAGTACAAGCTATTCTGGAATATGAGGTAGTACACTGCAAATTGTGGGCAACTTAGTGACATTCTGTCATCATAGAAACTAAAAAGTCAAAAAAGAGGGTTCTGGGTATAGCTCAGGGTTAGAGGACTTGCCTAGCATGAGCTGAGTCTGGAGTTCAATCCCCAACACCAAAACAACATAAACAACATCAGCGTCTGGACTTCATTTTGTCTTCTTGTCTCCTAAACCCTTCCAACCAGGCCTTTACCCTCATTACACTACTGCTCAGTCACTAGTAATAGCTATACGCTAAATCTAGTAACTAGTTCCCAAGTTCTCTTCCTACCCCACCATGAGCTGCACCTGAAGTTGCTGACTACTCTCTCTCTATACCTTCTCCAGTTCACCTCTACGACTCTATAACCTTCGTTCTTCTGACCTACTACATGTGTGTGTGCTCTCTCCCTCAATGAAAGTATGTATCATTATATGCCTTATTTATTCTCTTACTACCCATTCTTCTGACTATTGGAGATGATGTGCCTACAGACAAAACTCATGTGTATGTGTGCACATGTGTGTCCATGTGGAGGTCAGAGGACAATTTCAGGTAGTGTTTTGCAGAAAACTGTCTGTTCACCTTTTCCCCCAGTTTAAAAAAAAAGAAAAAAGAAAAGAAAAGAAAGGAGGGTTCTGGGTAAATCTCGGTATTACAGAACTTGCCTAGCATGAGCTAGACCTTGAGTTCAGTCCCCAACACCAAAACAACAACATCATCATCCAGTCTCAGTATGTAGCCCTGGTTGGGCTACAACTGACTTTTATGGACCAAAGTGGCCTCAAACTCAGAGACTCGACTGCCTCTGCCTCCTGAGTTCTGGGATTACAAGTGTCCCCTAGAATGCCTGACTTCTACCTTGTTTTTGAAACAGATCTCTCACTGGCCTGGAACTTCCAAGTAAGCTGTGTTGGATGATCAACAGATGCCAGGAGCCTACCGATTTCTGCCTGTCCAGGCCCACTGCTCCCGTTTTCTCACTTGGGTTCTGGGTGTGCAACTAGAGTTCTTATGTTCATGTAGTGAGCGCTATATTAAGCTGTCTTCCTAGCCCCCCAATGGATTTCCAAAAGACACTTCAAAGTAAGCATATCTTCCTTTTGCTCAGAATAACACCCCCCATTTCAGTTATCTATGCCAAAAATTTTGCAGTTATATTTGACTCCTTTGTATAACCCATATTTATATGTATTTTAAATGTTTTAGGTTTTATTTTATGTGTGTAAGTGTTCTGTTTGTGAGTTATGTATGTACCATGTGTACCTGCTACCAGCAGTTGTGAGCCATCATCCAGTAGGTACTGGAAAGTGAGCCCAGGTCCTCTACAAGAGTATCAAGCGCACTTAACTGCTGAGCCATGTCCCCAGCATTAAATACCACAGGTCAAATGCTGTTTGCTGTCTTCTGAATCTGACACCCCCTCCTTCAGCATCACTCCCTACTCCTCCACCTGAGGTACTAGCTCTAACTTGAATTGCTACCCCACTTCCATCCTTGCTTCCCAGTCTATTCTCAACAGCAATTCACAACCTGGAAGTCAGATCATGCTATTATCATTGAAAGCCTCCCATGGCCGCCTCTTACGCAAGGAGGTAGAGCTAAATTTCTCACCACAATCTATTCTTGCCTCTTTTGCCTCCACTGTCTATTATATTTAGCCTTACTTTCTTTTTACTATTTATTTATTGGGAGGGGGCAGGGGACAATTTGTAGGCGTTGTTTCTCTCCTTCCAGTGTATGGGCTCTGGGATCAGATTTGGAGGAAAGAACCTTTACCAGCTGAACCATCTTGCCAGCCCCTGACCTCATTTTCTATTTTAGTCTCCAACCACAAGAGTTCCTTAGATGCTCCTTGAGTTCACCTGGGCTGCGGCACTAGTCAGAGGCTAGAACACGGTAACCTCACATTCCACACAGCTCCTTCCCTCACTGCACCTCGACCCCATCACTCCCCTAAGCTCCTGCTTCCTCTCTGGCACGGTTATGCCTCCCCACTGCTGCCAGGCTTCTTCTGTGACCCTGCCTTCCTTTGTCTTCTATTTATTTACTGCCTTAGTCCTGTCCATTCCACATCCCAGTGTAAACTCCACAGAACAGATTCTTGTTTTCTTTGTCACCTCTCTGTCCCCTGGACCTACAACATGAGTGCAGCAGGGTGGGTGTTAAATTTGAATTGAACATCCTTAACTGCACCTCGTATGCCACTGAATTCTTTATCCTTGCTTCCAAATTAGCCTCCTTCTCAAAAATACTCACATTTTTATGACCCCACTCTTTTATTCTCAGACCAGTAACCATGAGGGATCAGATCTGACTCTCTTCCATCAGGGTCTCCCTTAGATAACTAGCATGTAGTGACCAATTCTCGTTTGGAAATATCTTCACTGTTTATCTGATGACAAGCCTAAGTTCAGGTTTTCATTACTACAGCCATGCTGTTTGCTCAAGCACCTTTCCTGCTACTTTCCAAGCAAGCCTCCAGCTACCTGCTGTGCTTTCTTCCAAAGAAATATGAGATTATAGCTACTTCCCTTATCACAAACCCTATACTGAGCTGAGCCTGGTCGTGTGCACCTGTAATCCCAGTCCTGGAGGCTGAGGTGAGAAGACAGCAGAGTCCTATGCTACCTGAGTTATACAGTGAAATTCAATCTTTTTTTATAAAGTCTTTAATGGATTCCCCGATTGAAAAGTTCCTTGAGCATCAGTTCAAACTTTCCACTGAAGCTTCATGTCCTTCCCGTGCCTGAGCTACACCATTTTCAACAGTCAACTTGCTTCTCATCACTTGGCATCTTGTAATACTTCCTGCAAGCCTGGACTACACTTTCCAACTTCTTTAACTAGCAGAAGTAATATGCAGAAAAGGGTCTCCTAAAAAAACAAAAATTCGCCGGGTGGTGGTGGTGGCGGTGTACGCCTTTAATCCCAGCACTTGGGAGGCAGAGGCAGTCGGATTTCTGAGTTTGAGGCCAGCCTGGTCTACAGAGTGAGTTCCAGGACAGCCAGGGCTACAGAGAAACCCTGTCTCAAAAAAAAAACCAAACCAAAAATTCAATAAGCATGCCATGTTAAGGTGCAATTAGTCCAATTCTACACACTACCTATAGTGAGAGAGTGAATGAGAGAGAGAGAGAGAGAGAGAGAGAGAGAGAGAGAGAGAGAGAGAGAAAGCGCGCACCAGACTTCCCTATAAAGATTCAGCTATGTCTAAGTCACTGAGCAAGAAAAGCAACCAAGATCCAAATCACTCTCCAGAGCTTACTGGATGAGATTATGTCATAAAACACCTCTTTAATAGTATGCTGCTCTTTTACCAAGCTCATCAATACTTCTTACACTATAAAGACAAAGTTCAGGTTAGGGAGCCAGCCCAGTGGTTAAAGTGCTTGCCATGAAATTATGAGGACCAATATCTGGATGCTCAGAGCACACATAAATGCTGGGTACACAAAAAGACCCATCTATAATTCTATCACGTAGAAAGCAGAGACAGGAAATCCTCCGGAGAAAGCTGCCTAGCTTGACTATCTGTACTGGCAAGTTCTGAGTCCAACTGAGAGGCCGTGATTCAATAAATAAAACCAATGGAAAGATGCATTTTTCATGTGGAAACAGGTAGGGTCAAAATCACTTGACTTACCTTCACAGAAACTTTTGATTTATGCTCTACAAAAAGAAAATAAAATTACTAAACTATAAAACCCAAAACATATTAAGGCAGTGACAAAAGAAAATGTTAAGAACAGATTAAGATGTTAGGATAAAGAGGCTATCCCCAAAGCATTAACCGCAAGTCCCACCTGAGTATTCCCGCTTTTACAACATGGTGCTTCACGTATTCACTCCCATTTTATTTTATTTCAATACTCTTTCCAAGGTAATACTATAAACAGATGGTGGTGCGGATCAGGCAAGTACTGTGATGGAGAAGGCTAAAAACTATACTGAGTTTAAAAAAAAAGACAAGCAACTGTGGTTGTACTGTATAAATGTAACTTTCTCACTCAATAGTTTGTTTACATACAAAGTACACAATTATGTGAACTCTACCTGCATTCTCATTAGACAACAAGGTAATGATAACACTGAAGCCATATTACATATAAAATATATTTTGGGAACCAACATAGACAGTAGTGATCAATATTACAATCTAACTTTACTTGGATAAATACCAATTTGTAGACATTAAGGGAAAAGGCTTTTTCCAAGTGTCATTTAACTATATTATAAGAAAAACATCTATTAAATTACCACAAATTCTGCATACAAACTTAAACATTTTAGACTTCCAGTAATACAGCATACCATATGGAGACAGTATTAGCTTGGTTTTTCCATCCAATAATTCAGTTTCAAGCTTTAAACCATCTCTGCAATACAAAACAAAATTGTTTTGACAATTTTAATTAAACTTTCACTGAATAGCAACCAGAAATATTTATATGAACCTTGAAAGTAAACCTATACCTTTGAATTATATAGGATACACATACCATCAAAGCAGGGTTTTTGGTTGTTTGTTTCTTTTAAGTCATATAGCCCAAGCTGCCCTCAAACTTACTATGTAGATCAGGCTGGCTTTGAATTCCTGATCTGCCTGCCTGAACCTCCCTCAATGTAGTTTTTAAATTTTAAAATATTTTTTTCAAGGCTGGAGGGATAGCTCAGCAGTGAAGAGCATTGTCTATTCATGGAGAGCAAAGCCAACATTGCAGCTAACAAGTGTCTGCAAAGCCCCCTTGGGTCTCCAAGGGCACCAGGCACACAAGTGGTCCACGGACTTACATGTAGGCATGGCATCCATACACACAAAATTAAAGTAAGCATTTAAAAAGTAAATATATACATATACATATACATATACATATATATATAATATACACATACAAAAGACTTTTTCTTCCTCCCTCCCTCCCTCCCTCTTTCTCTCTCTCTCTCTCTCTCTCTCTCTCTCTCTCTCTCTCTCTCTCTTTCTTTCTTTCTTTCTTGAGACAGGGTTTCTCTGTGTAGCCCTGGCTGTCCTGGAACTCACTCTGTACACCAGGCTGGCCTCGAACTCAGAAATCTGCCTGCCTTTGCCTCCCAAGTGCTGGGATTAAAGGCGTGCACCACCATTGTCAGGCCCAAAAGACTTTCTTAAAACTCTTCAGCGAGGCAAGCATGTGTCATGTTTAGCCTGAAACTAGTTTTTGTTACTGGTAAGAAATAAAGAAACCCAGTTATTATACCATCCTTTACCTTGTAGCTCTATACCAAAAGTCCCATGCTGCTACCAGAACTCCTTAGCACGGTACAAAACATAGATATGCCATTTATTAGTTTTGTAACGGTTTCATGACTGACACATTCCAAGGAGGGATAGAAGCGACTGAAAAATGGTTAAAATGGTCACCAATGTGACGGCTGCGTAAGTACAGAATTCCACACAACTTGGACTATTTCACATACTACATGGTTACTTTAGTGACTCTTTACCACTATCAAAATAAATGCACAATAAACTTTGGCTAATATGACACTTTATTTGTCAAAAGTGCCAGCATAAAGAAACGGTAAACACAACCAGCAAAACATGTTGTCTATTAAGGCCAACAAAACTCCGATGGGATTCCACACACAGTATTTCACTGTTTTATGGTAAGTGGGATGGGGTGGGCGTTATGTGTCAACAAACAGAAATGACAACAACGTCAAAGAGAAAATACCAAACCAAGAAATTAAGGGCAAGGAGGTTGACTAGCAACGCTAAACTCACAGGGTTGCTTTGGTAGAGGGAATCAAGTGCCTGCATTCGTTAAAGGAAACTAATCTGGGAGACATATGTTGTCAGAGGCTTCCGCGTTGCAGGACTACGAACAGCCCATGATTATGGTAGAGGGCAACATCCGGAATGAATCTGAAGTTGCCAGCCAAGTCTCTATTCTACCTCCCCGCAAGCTCACGGGGCAGGCTGCCTCATTTATTTCTAAACTCCCAGAAGAGAACCTAAGATTCAGCTACTGGATACGCGGTTACGTCTAGGTCGGATGTCTGGTCTTCCTAAAACAATAAACTTCTGAAAATGAAGACCGCACTCCAGATTCGGTCCAGCCCCAGCTTAGGATGCTCCAGCTCGGTGCCGGGCAGCCGTAGCTCCTCGAGCATCTCGCCCTCTGGGGCGCCGTCTCCCCTCCGGGGCGCTCTAACACCGCGGTCCGCGCTGGACCGGGAACCCCGCCCGCCGCCACGCGCCAGCTGAAGGCCAGCCCCGCAGCCCAGCGAGTCCCCACCGGCTTACCCAAGGTTCATGGCCCCGCCGCCCACCCGCAGCTCGCTCAGGCCACTTGTGTACCCAGCTTGCTGCCGCCGCTCAACAAACGTTACGCCGATTGGATGCCGTGGGCCAGCTGAGCCAATCAGAGTGGCTCATGCTGGAGGGTGCGAACGCTGGTGCCGGCCTCCCCGGACTTTGGGTGCCTCTCGGGGGGCGTCTGCGGTTTTTTCATGATCACCGCCTGCCATAGGGAGCTGCCTTGGTTCTAATGGAAGTTTCCAAATAGGCAGAAGCAACAGATGTGATCATCCTATTTTATATTAGGAGGAGAGATTTATTTAGTTGATGGACTCGTGCCGCCTAGTACACTTAGTGTCTCTCTCTTCATGCTACCCACTCTTACAGACTGAAGTTCTTTAAATACTGCAGCAACAATCACAGTGTGGACCAAAGTCGTACATCTGTCGTTAGCAGTGCTATCTCTGAGGCACGAATAGGCAGAAGGACTTGCCTGGGTCACTGACCACTGACAATTAAACTACAGACCGTATGTCTAATGTGAATAATCCCGGTCGATGCTTTTAGACTCAAGTCTAAATTGTCACTTGTTACTCTTCCAAAGGATCCCAACACCCACGTCAGGTGGTTAAGCCACCTGTCGCTATGTCAACCCTGGTGTCAGACTAGGACGGGGGAGTGCACTCACATCTTTAAAAAGAAAATTGTGAGTTTAAGGCCATCCTGTTTTACAGAGTCTGTTCCAGAACAACCAAGACTACAAAGAAACCCTGTCTCAAAACCACCACCACCACCACCTCCCCTACCCCTTCCTCACCACTCACCCACCGCCCCCACCGCCCCCAGATAAAAATAAACACTACTATTGCAAAGAAGCTGCTGAGGGTAAAGAGTAAGTAGGTAATGTCTACCTCCCTCCTCCTAGGATCCCAATAACAAAACAACTTTATTAGAGTGACTTACAGAGCATGGGTAAGGTTTTCAGGCTGGAGCTTGGGTAATCTGAAAGTAAATACATTGGAAGGTCTGAACCCAGCAAGGCTGATGACACCCTCATGGCTGTTCCTACTCAGGCACCTGCTCCTTTTGATTCCCCAGAGCCCATGTGTAATTACAGCAGCACTGCATATAGTTGACTGAGAAGGATACTCAGGAGAGGGTCCCACAAACCTCCTTATCCAGTCCTTCTGGGAGGGAGTGCTATCTTATGCAAACAGGCCCATCTAAGCATCATGAAGATGGCGGTAGTTGAGCTTGGAGGATAGTCTAGTCCTGTACAACAGAAGCCCTTCTGAAAGATTGAGGGATTCCCTAACATGTCACACAAGCATTTGGAATCCTGCACCAAAGTGAGCTCTAGAGGAACAGTTGATGTCTTATACAAGGCTGTAACCACAGCTGCTGCCACTTAGGAAACGGAGGCAGGAGGTCTGCCATAGTGTGAGGCCAGCCTAGGCTACACAGGTGTGGTGGCTATTCCTGGTTGTCAACTTCTGGTATGAACTACAGTTCAGAAATGGAGGGCGATCTTGAGGCTGGAAGACACAGGCTTCTGACCTAGATCTTGACTTGGGATGATACATACTTTTGATCCAGATCTTAAGGCATAGTGGCCATGAAAAGCTTAGGCCCAGGAGACTGAGGCAAGCAGATCTCTGAGTTCAAGGCCAGCTGGGACAGAGGAAGTTTCAGATCCAGACATGGTGGCACACACCTGTAATCTGGGCCAATCCTTCTGCTGGAGGCCTACATAAGGACAGTGGAAGAAGGAAGATTCACTTTCTGCCTGCTTGCAATTACTTGCCAGCACATCTGTTGGAACCTACCTCTTCAGGATGCCAGCTTATACAGAAGACCAAGTGAAATGACTAGCCTTGTGGGACTGAGCAACTACTAGATTCTTGGACTTCCCATTCACAGCTGTCCATTGTTAGGTTAGTTGGACTGTAGACTATAGGTCATTACAATAAATTCCTGTAATATATAGAGACATTCTGTAAGTTCTAGAGACTCTAGAGAGCCCTGACTAATACAATGGGGCACTATTTCTTTAGAATGCCAAACAACAGGCACATATCTGAAATCCCAGCACTTAGGAGTCTGAGAGAGAAGACTGAAGAGTTCAAGGCCAGGTTCTCCTACACAAGACTGTTTCACAAAGAATCTAGAGAAAAAGAAACAAACAACAAAGGAGGGAGAAAGAATAAACATACATTTGATTGTGCTGTTTGCATTTAGCTGTCTGTGGTAGTGCATGTCTTTAACCCCAGCACCCAGAAGGCTAAGGCAGGGGGTAATTCTGTGAGTTCAAGGCCACCATGGTCTAAACAGTGAATTCCAGGTCAGTAAGAGCTACATAAAAATCTTATGCCTAAAAGAAAAAAAAATTACTTAAAGGGACAGTTTTTTACTAATGCATAAAAGGGCTAAATCAATCAGCAGATTAATAGCAATTATTTTCTGGGAGATGGAGTGGTTGGTGGCTCACGCCTTTATTCCCAGCACTTGGGAGGCAGAGGCAGGTGGATTTCTGAGTTCGAGGCCAGCCTGGTCTACAGAGTGAGTTCCAGGACAGCCAGGGCTACACAGAGAAACCCTGTCTTGAGGGGAAAAGAAAAGAAAAGAAAAGAAGAAAAATGAATTTGAAAGTATTACTTTTTTCTTTTAGTTTGTGTGGTATGTATACATGCAAGGTGTGAGTGCCCATGTGTGCTCCAGTGGATGTGGATGCACATGTGTGAGGCCAGAGGTGGATATAGAGTGGTTTTTTTTCAATTTCCCTTCTCTTTGTATTGAAGAAGGGTGTCTCATGTGCAGCCCAGAATTTGCTAACTCAGCTAGTCTATCTAGCCAGCTTGCCCTACCTCATCTCTGCTGTGGTGGTTTCCGAAAACACCAAGGCCAGTAAAGTGTCCGTTTGCATGAGGCAAGGAGGAAGCTCAGTTCAACACAACTCAGTAGACAGTGTTGGTTCCAACTTTGGGAGTCTGATTCTTGGTGGCTTATTTCAGACATATTTAAGCACAGCACAATTTGGAAAAAAGTTTTCTGGTGATAAATAAATCAATCCATTGTGTACAGCAAAACTTGACAAGATTTCATCTAAACTCTTGTAAAGCACAAGTAACATCTGCCATAAGGTTAAGGTTCTATAGATTAACTAAGGAAGCAGGCTCAAAGTAAACAGTGCTCATAGGGCCTGGGGGAGAAAAGCACTATAGAGTAACGGAAATGTGAGTGTTTTAGGAAGCCGGTGTAACCTGGGCATACAGATAGCACAGAGGTCACAAGACTTAATCAACTACATCCATTTTCAGCCTTCTTGGCAGAAAGTGGGTTATACATCTCTTCTTTTGAAGGGACCACCATGTGTATTTAACATTCCCACGTTCCCTAGTGAATATCTATGAGCAAAAGAACTTCATGTCTCCCATGCTCTAGAGATTACTGGTGTAACACCAGACCCACACATAGGAATATAAACTCCAGTCCTCCCTAGCAGTCCTCCCTAGCATTTAGGCAGTGAACCCTTTCCTACTGAGTCATCTTTCTAGCCCCCTGAGAATATTGTTTTGGAAAAAAATAAAAACCAATCAAGAATCAAACATTATAATCTCTTCTCCCTTTGTCTTCTCTTTGTCTCTTTCTTTCTTCCTCCCTTTCTTTCTTTCTTCTTCTCTCTCTCTTCCTCTCTCTCTCTCTCTCTCTCTCTTTCTCTCTTTCTCTCTCTCTCTTTCTTTCTTTCTTTCTTTCTTTCTTTCTTTCTTTCTTTCTTTCAATTTATTTAATTATTTTATGTTTGTAAGTATTCTACTTGCATGTCTATTTGTGCACCACATGTGTACCTGATTCACATGGAGATGAGGACAGGGTGTCAGATCCCTTGTGACTGTAGTTTCAGGTGGTTGTGAGCTGCCATGTGAAATAGGAAGTGAGCCCTGGTCCACTGTAAAGACAAATACTCTTAATCACTGAGCCATCTCTCCAGTCTTTAGTTTGTTATTAATCTTTTATGTGTATGGGTGTTTTATCTACAGGTATGTCTGTGTACCACATGCATGACTGGTGCCTGCAGAGGCCACAGGAGGGTGTCAGATTCCAGGTTGGTCCTGGAAATTGGATCTAGGACCTGTGGAAGAACAGACAGTGCTGTTAACTATGGAGCCATCTCTCCAGCCCAACTTCTTCCCTTCGTTTCTCTCTCCCTCTCCAGAAAAGCAAAAGGAAGCAACTGTTGTTAAACACTTGACAAGCCTTAAGTTTTAATTTTTTTTATAGTATATGGTAAAAAGTTGCATGGTAATTGTCAAGCTAGGGCTCATGGGTAGCAGTGTTGCTAAACTATCATCCAAACAATTTTTGCAATTCCTTTAGCACCCTGGACAATTCTGAAATAATGTTTCCCTCCTCTCCCAATCCCTAGAGACTTCTAACTTCAGGCCTGTCAGTATTAATGTGTCTGTCCTTGATATTTTGTAAAAGTACAATCATACAATGTTTTGTGTGTGCGCGTGTGTGTCTGGCTTCTCTCACTAACATTACACTATAAAGCTCACCAAGTTCTAGTATGCATGAAAATGTAATACCTTTTCATGGTGGGGTGGAGGGAAGTGCTGGAGATTTAACCCAGAGCACTGTGCAAGATGAAGGGGATCTTTAATTTTATTTTTGTGGTGTTCTGTATTTTCGACAATTCATCTCCTATCTTTTATTCTTCTACCCCACTGACATGTGTTTTCCTGAGCTGCACCCTGTTAGTATTCTGTCTAAACTCCACCTCCACAGCTACCTGGCAACAGCCAGGTAGGCCTGCCCTCTATAAAAGGGGCTCCTTGCCCCCTCCTCTCTCTCTTGCACTCTTGTTCTCTTGCCTGTAGCTTCTGTCTCCTCCCCCTCCCCCTTCCCTTCCTCCTCTCTCCACGTGGTCATGGCCGGCCTCTACTTCTCTCTCTCCTCTCTCTCTCCCTCTTCCTCTGCCATCTTCTTCTATTTCTTTTCCCCCACATTTTCCCTGAATAACTCCACCCCCCTGGAACCTTTTGGTCTGATGT